TTTCGCAACAGTCCCTTCTTTCTATCGGACCCAACAATATGGTGGCATTCGAATAGGAAAATTACATAATACGAGGTTACCGGCCAGCACAAAATATGTTTTAAACGGTTTTCGAGAGTGACGACTTTAAATGTTTAAATAGTTGGTCCGTTTTTTTGCAAAATTTTATTTGTTAGCAGATCACCACTCGATATTCGAATGTGAATGAAACAGTTTGTTAGAGCTAATATTAAGAGAAAATATGTTTTACACATGTACAGAAATTTGTAATAAAATACATAATGCGGTTATAATAAAACATTAATTTTAAGTGATTCAAAGTACAGGTACTGTACATACAATAATAGTTATTAGTTTTAAATGAACTTTCGAATACATTATCAGCATTTTTGTTTTGGAAATGGCGCGATCGATTCCAGTTTTTCCCATAATGGTTATTCTGCCTAGTCATTACGAGGTTTCTGGACAAACAAAAAACCCACGAAGAAGGGTGAGACCTTGACGGTGGTTCCGTGGCTTAAAATAGAATTTCTTTTCTGTCACTAACTTCACCCGGCAGAAGAAATCAGAGATATTTCTAAAATGTATTTCTTTTTCACATTTATAATTTATAAGCATGTGCATTCGGAAACAAAAACAATGTAATATTTTGAAAAATAAAATCATATTTTAATAATTACAATTATATTTATTTTAATTGATTTATGTATATGCTACATTTAAATAATTTTATTTTAATAAATTATATCAGTTACCTAAAATTTGGCATATTGTAGATAAATATGAAAGTCTTCGATAATTCGAAGTCGCGTCCCTTGAATTTCGAACTAACGGGGATTTCCTGTAATTTTGCAATTACATACATACATTCGCATTGCTGTTGCACTAACGATTCTCGATTGATATTGCTAAGACCCACCAGCGGCCAAGCGGTCTTCGTATCCTAAACACTGGGAGTTTTGTCGTGGGTTCGCGCCTCTCTCGGACGGGCTGGCCACGTGGAGTTTTCCGGGTTTTCTCCACCTGTAACACCTAAATAGGGGCCAGTTTCCTTTAAAAAGTCCTCCCGGAAGGCATCTCTACCTAGACAAGTGTTGTGTTGTCATAATTCAAACAAATCAAAACCGATATTGTTGATTTATTGTCCCTTATGTTAATGGCTTAAAATAGTTTTTTTGATACTGTGCATGATGTGTCTATACACAGTTTAACACTTTCAACAGATTGCATTACAACTCAGAGCAATTTTTTGTAGAAGCTACGTGACTAGCCCCAGACCCCGTTGTAGTGGTACATGATACTGACTTACTCCCTATCCTCTTCAACTGCTGGACTGTGTGGTTTGTGAACGTTTCCTGTATTACTCAAATAGCATTATTCAATTATACACGTTTGTGTAAATAATTATTACTAATTAACAAACAGAAACAGCAAGAAAAATTTCCGATGTAAAATACATATTGCGCTAACAGTTGAGAATAATTAATTAATACTTTGACAACTTAATATCTGCGCTCATAATTAATTAGATACTGTATCACTTTTCGTGTTTTTCTGTTTGTGAGAAAATAAGATAATTCGGTCAGTTTTAACTGGCTATTAGAGTAACCGATGACACCTCACAAGCAGGCTAACACGAATGATAGGGGATACCACATAAATATGGTCGTGAATTCGAAAATTCGTTGAGCCAATGTAATTCAATCATAATCCCGAATTACAGATTGACATTTGACAAATGTTAACAAAACGTTTACATTGAACATTTCACAATTTGTCATATTAATCATTTCGACGATCGCGAATGTTTTTACCAACGATTATTAATCACCGAGAAAACGTTTGGCTCACTGTGGATACTGAAAACACTGCAATAAAGTATCGAATCATAAGAGCCTCAGTAGCGCAGTAGGTAGCGCGTCAGTCTCATAATCTGAAGGTCGTGAGTTCGATCCTCACCTGGGGCATCTTATTATTATTTTTCCATTCGACTTGACGAAGTTTTATCATCATGCGAAACTTTTACTTAATGTCAGCGATGTTTCTTCTATAATTTCGGTCTTGTTGTTTTTCAATTTTAACTATGGAACAGATGATTGACCGGTAGATTCGAGTTGATAAACCATATTTATATGGTATCCCATATCATTCGTGTTAGCCTTCTTGTGAGGTATCATCGGTTACTCTAATAGCCAGTTAAAACTGACCGAATTATCTTATTTTCTCACAAACAGAAAAACACGAAAAATAATACAGTATCTAATTAATTATGAGCGCAGATATCAAGTTGTCAAAGTATGAATTAATTATTCTGTAGTATTTTAAAAGAATTTATTCATTATTTAATCGCGTTTTTCATTCATGTTAATCGTGTATAATAATTATTCCAATTGCCGGAATGGTTTATTTTTTTAACTCTTTCCGCCCTGTGGGCGCTAAGAGGGCCTCTTTAAGCAAGCCCATTATGGGTTCGGCCAGGTCCACAATAGGTGGTAGGGCAAGGGGGCCGACCACCCCCCGAAAAATTCCTAGGGATTTCTCGACTCGTCCGAATACGATCCCGGGTCCCGCAGAGCGGAGGCTGTCACCTTAATTTAACCGCTCGACCATCCGGCTGTCATTGCCGGAATGGTAACATTGAAATGAGTCATTTTTTCCAAAATAATTATGGTTCAGGTTTTCCTTCTGGATGCTTTTTTAATAACTTAAAAATTCTTATTTAATTTATTTTTACGGTTTAATTGTATTTATGAACTAATTATTAATTGAATTTGTTCAGTCACAACTGTTGAGTCTGCTGAACGCAGCCAATTATTTAACTCGTGATAATAATTTACAAAAGAATTAAACGAAAACAATGTAATTCACTTATATTAATATTTAAAAAGAAATATTTATGTTTGTATTTATGTTCTAGTTATTTTTATAACGTCAATTGTAATATTTTAAAAATAAAATTTATAATCGATATTTGCACACTACATGGCGCTGCGAGCGTTATATTTATAGAGGAAACGTGCTCATCTTACTATATTTGTATACTTATGAAAAAAGTATTTTGTTAACGATTTAATTACTTAAATTTTGATAAGCAGGTCTTCAATTACAGTAAGTTAGTATAAGTCTTATATGAAAGCTCAAACGTACACGTGAAATCCTAATGAAATATGATATAAGTTATATATGTCAAGAATTTTCCTTGATGTTTTGATGGTTGATTTCACACACTTCTATTTGTTAAATATATCTACGATATTTAACGAATATAAAATAAATTAAAAGAATGCTTTACTTATAAATTGATTTTATGTCTGAAATTACGTCCGCATTTTTCTTGAAATTTTTACTCCCCCTCCTCCCATTGTCCCAGTTTGTGCGTGTTTCTATAACCCCCTCCCCTTCTTCGGACGTCTAACAAAACTCAACCCTCCTTAAAACCTTTATCACCTTATGAATAATAAAATGCATAAACTGTATAAAATTTAATGAAATAAAACCGACGTTCATTGAAGTTCAACCCTTTCTCTTTCCCTGTCCAACCTGTCATAACCCCCTCCCACTCTTCCAGTGCGGACGTCATTTAATGCACCTAAGATGTGAACTCTGAATGAGGGATTTTCCACCATCCCAGAATTATAGACCCCTGTACCAGCAAAAATGTCAATGGAAACATACTTGTGCATGCCTTTGTGAGAAATTTGCCTCCAAAGGTCAGTTTTTTAGTCTTGATGCTTTACATGTAGTTGTGCTTCTGTGCTTGATGTTGTTCATACCTCGGAGCCCGCAGAAGTAGGCTGTCACAACCCTCTAAAACTATATAACATCAAGTACTCCATGAACAGTCAAGTGGACTATTCAAAGCCAGCATAGTCACTTGGGCTAAATGGTTTAAATGCAAGAGTCTTAGCAGACTGTGCTACATGACACTCAATTGTGTGCTTTCTGGAAGTAGGCTGATTTTGGAAACTATCTTGCAAAGGATCAAATATAGATATTGTTCCTTTGACTTTTTTGCTCTTATGGGTATGATCCACAGCTCTAGTAAGGTCCTAACCATCTCATTGAGAGGTGTAATTGTATGAAAAGGTATCTTTTAAATTCTAAATTGTAAAATATTTATATAATGAAGGAAATTAGCTACATATGTAATTATCAAATTTAGAATTGTCATCAAACTTTTGGTTTTTCTATATTTTTTTCTATGGAAATACAGAAGAAACCAAAACAACTTATAGAACTCTAACTGGTAATTAACAATGGCATTTGTGTCACTCAAAATTTATCTGTCTATCTGATAATTTAAATATGAAGTTTTATAAAATTTCAATTATGTATCATTATATTATTTATAATTTAACATTTATGTAATATTTATATTCATAATTTGTATTTTTTTTTATTTTTGATTAATACAGTAATACCTCGACTTACGCTACCCCGACTTACGCGAACTCAGAGTTACACAATTTTCAAATCTTGTCAATTCGTTTTTTGTTTGAGTGTCACACAACTCTTGATTAATCACTCCCCCCCACACTATTGTTCAGCTTACATGTTTGGATGTGTTGCATGGAATCGACATATAGCTACAATTTATTTTGTGTTATTTATTTCTGTATTTGTTATATTTATGGAGACTTGAGAGACTCTATGTGGTGATTTCTTGTAACTGTGAACAAATCAAATGACGAGATAAGATTAACGAGAGCATTTATTAGCTTACATACATCCGACTTGGATTTTACACAAATTGCGAAATTACACCCTGACTTACACAAATTCGACTTACGCGATTATCGCTCGGTCCCACCTATCGCGTAAGTTTGGGGTATTACTGTACATTAACTAAATATATTTAGTTATTATATTTGTTTTTTAAATAGTGAATTGTGAGAAAGGTGTAAATTTTCATGTTTATATTTATTACAGGTTTTTAAATTAAATGTAAAATGGGGAAACAAAAGAAAAAAAGTATTAACCAAAATGAAAAAGTATCAAAAATGCCATCACATAAAAGACATCAATTAAATAATTTGACAGAAATATTGTTAAAAAGTAAGTTATATTGAAACTTAAGTAATTATTCAAGTACAAAATGTAATCATGCAAGTAATTGTAATAAATACAGTCGACCCCCCTAAACACGGTAGATATGTTCCGGTTTTTATGAATCCATTTGCTAAGAGTTCAGCCAATCACAGCCAGGCACATATGCAGTTTACGGACTATGGCTGTTTGAAAGATTTCTTTCTTAAAATTAATCAATTCTAGACTAATTGATCAATAAGCACAATGATATTGTGCTTATTGATGTGGACAATGTACAATGTAAGTTACTGGAAGGAAAAAGCTTAAAGATTAGTAGAAAGAATATATATGAAAGGTACTTTTGGGAAAGGCACTTCTGTGAATGAAGTTGATGTGAAAATTGAAGGAGTGAGAGTGAAAGATTCAGATATTTGTAGTTAGTACCCCACAAAATGGAGAGATTGATGAAGATATAACAACAGAGTTGTAGCTGGTTTGACTAAATGGAGAGGGACTAGTGGAGAACTTTGTGACAGAAGAATACCTCCAAGATTAAAAGGAAAATTTTATAAAATGGTTATTAGGCTTGCAATGTTATATTGTTTGGAGTGCTGGGCTGTGAAGAAAGTGCAGGTACAGAGAATGCATATCACAAATGCAGATGCTGAGATGGTGGAGTGGTATCATAAGGAAAGATAAGATGAGGAATAGTTACAATGGGGAAGCTTGGGCATCACAGAGATAGAAAACAAATTGAGGAAAAATCAACTGAGGTGGTTCAAGCATGTGCAATGCTAACCAGAAACAGCCTGAGTACAAAGAGTCCTGGAAATGTCAGTGGGAGGGGCAAGATGGAGAAGATCTAGAAAGATCTGGAATGAGACCCTTAAATGTGATATGGAAGAATGCAATGTCTTTATGGAAGTTGCTTCGAACAGGACAAAATGGAAAAGAAAGACTTGAAGTGCCAACCCTGTATAGTTGGGAAAACGTCAATAAAGAATATGTATATAACACACATTTATTTTTTATTTAGTTAACACTTAAGTGTTAACTAAATAAAAAATATTAACTGTTTTAATACTATTTTCTATTACCAAATTACATTTAATATGTAATCAACATTTAAGCTTTGTTATTAGTTTATTATTTTTTTAATGACAAAGGTAATGTAAGATGATAAATTTTTCAAAAAATTATTACTATATTAAATTTATTTGTTAAAATAATAATAATAATACATATTAATAAACTTAAACTATTTAATATTTATTATTATTACTTTTTTAAAAATTTTATATAGAATGTACAGAATTAGGAACAACTAAAGAAGAATGGAAAGATTATGAAGAGATTTATAATAACGTTCAAGCAATAAGAGATATTGAAAAAGGTAAATTATATAAAAGTTAATTTTGAAATAAATACTAATAATAACTTCGTGCATTTTGATTATTTAACTAATATTAAGTATATTCATATGAGCATTATAACAGGTGTATTTTATGAAAGATATTTGAATTAAACTAAGTTTTTTGAAAAATCTTTTAATCAATAACCTCATGATTTAAAGTTCATTTTTTTTTAAATATATAAATGTGATTTTGTTAGGTTAAAAAATTCTTATTTTAAATATTTATTTTGCTTATTGACCTCTTTCCAAAACTAGATTTAATTCACCAACCATTTTCTGTAATGATACAAAACGAGAGTAAATTGCAAATAGTAAAATAATGAAATAGAAATGAAAATCCAACTTATCCTTCCAGATGTTGAAATTTTTTTCCTATAGTGAATAATTCATAACAGAGGATGATAGAATTAGTTTATTTTTCTGAAAAATTTCATCAAAATCAGACAATTAAATTATTTATTTTTTCACTTCTACTTTTTTCTTTGGATGAAATATATCTTAATTAAAAATATCAATGAAATGTGTACAAATATAATTTAAAACAAAATAAATTTAAAACTATGTAATAATTATAGCTTTCTATTTATAATGTATGAGAGTACTGTATGTATACAGTACATATATGGAGATATAGAAAAACATTTAGAGAATGTAATATTTTTAACCCCTTTACTAGCACAAATGAGTTTTTCATGCTCTGCTATTATAATATGGGCTCTTCTGAGAATTTCTCATACTTGATCTCCTTCACATGATCAACCTGCCAAAAGGCTTCACCGAGAAAGAATTAAACCTACCAATGAAAATAGATTAACTTGGGAAAGAATACTATTACTGTATATATATATATATATATATAACCTGGACTACAAATATATCAAGATACAATGTTTTTCAGTGAATTCTATAGAAACAGTATATCCCTTTTTAATGAAACTAATTCCAGGTCTCTAGCTTTAATTGCTATCTTGCATATTTATGTGATGATGGGAAATAAAAAGTGGAAAAATTAAGAAATGAACATTAACAAGAATGATTGGAAAACTATAAAAAACATTGTAAGAGAGAAATTCTCAAGTTATCAACAAAAAAAATATAAGATGATATTTTTTTAATAGAAATAAGTTATGACAATAAAATGAGAAGAGTGCAACAGATCAGTCAAATTTGACTGATGCTGTTGCATATAAACTCAAAAACTTCTTTTTGCACATTAATTATTTTTTTGTAGTGTAAGTGATATATAATTCAATAAAATACAATAAGATACATTTAAATATGTCAACCTAAAAGTTTTGTTAAAGCCTGATATAAATATTTATATTGTTACATGATAATACAGGACTAATTTATTAACTTTACCATATTTATATTTTTTGTTTTATAGAATATAATGTGACCTTACCAAATAGAGATGATAAATGGGAAAATTTCTTGTCTTGGTGTTCTGGTGCTGGTGCAAATTTTGAAACAATTGATATTAAAAAATTAAAGGATGAAGAATATGGCTTAGTTTCTAAGCAGTTACTAAATGTAAGTGAAATAATTTCATAAAATTTTACTAATTGGAACAGATTTATTGCTAAATAAGACTTGATTTTATTAGAAAGTTTTAAAGTTTCATTTTTGCATATTATTAGAAAGAAAATTTCTTTTAATTATTATATTATTACTTTTTTAAAAATTTTATATAGAATGTACAGAATTAGGAACAACTAAAGAAGAATGGAAAGATTATGAAGAGATTTATAATAACGTTCAAGCAATAAGAGATATTGAAAAAGGTAAATTATATAAAAGTTAATTTTGAAATAAATACTAATAATAACTTCGTGCATTTTGATTATTTAACTAATATTAAGTATATTCATATGAGCATTATAACAGGTGTATTTTATGAAAGATATTTGAATTAAACTAAGTTTTTTGAAAAATCTTTTAATCAATAACCTCATGATTTAAAGTTCATTTTTTTTTAAATATATAAATGTGATTTTGTTAGGTTAAAAAATTCTTATTTTAAATATTTATTTTGCTTATTGACCTCTTTCCAAAACTAGATTTAATTCACCAACCATTTTCTGTAATGATACAAAACGAGAGTAAATTGCAAATAGTAAAATAATGAAATAGAAATGAAAATCCAACTTATCCTTCCAGATGTTGAAATTTTTTTCCTATAGTGAATAATTCATAACAGAGGATGATAGAATTAGTTTATTTTTCTGAAAAATTTCATCAAAATCAGACAATTATTTATTTTTTCACTTCTACTTTTTTCTTTGGATGAAATATATCTTAATTAAAAATATCAATGAAATGTGTACAAATATAATTTAAAACAAAATAAATTTAAAACTATGTAATAATTATAGCTTTCTATTTATAATGTATGAGAGTACTGTATGTATACAGTACATATATGGAGATATAGAAAAACATTTAGAGAATGTAATATTTTTAACCCCTTTACTAGCACAAATGAGTTTTTCATGCTCTGCTATTATAATATGGGCTCTTCTGAGAATTTCTCATACTTGATCTCCTTCACATGATCAACCTGCCAAAAGGCTTCACCGAGAAAGAATTAAACCTACCAATGAAAATAGATTAACTTGGGAAAGAATACTATTACTGTATATATATATATATATATATAACCTGGACTACAAATATATCAAGATACAATGTTTTTCAGTGAATTCTATAGAAACAGTATATCCCTTTTTAATGAAACTAATTCCAGGTCTCTAGCTTTAATTGCTATCTTGCATATTTATGTGATGATGGGAAATAAAAAGTGGAAAAATTAAGAAATGAACATTAACAAGAATGATTGGAAAACTATAAAAAACATTGTAAGAGAGAAATTCTCAAGTTATCAACAAAAAAAATATAAGATGATATTTTTTTAATAGAAATAAGTTATGACAATAAAATGAGCCACGTGGAGTTTTCNTGAAATTGAAATATGAAACATAACATCTAATATTTTGTACATTCAAATTTATATACAGTATTCAAACATGCATTTTTTTTTATTAATGTATTGTACAGAAGTTATTGAATTTCTTTGATATTTTATTAAAGATAAACAAAATGCAAAAAAAGGAAATAAATTCACTGATACTGAAGATGAGAATAATGCTATTTATTGATTTTAACCTGAAATTCTCAAAGAAATTAAAAAATCTTAACAGTTAATAAATCATGCTTTCTGCAAGAAAAGGAAATAATCTTAACCATGCACTTTTTTGAGAAATAAAATCTCCTCATTATGCTACTGTTAATAAAAGATCAATACAGGTTTACCTAAACTTGATCCTGCATTGATCTTTTATAGGACTTTGAATGTGTTAAAAAATTTATTTAATCATATTTGTTTGGTTATTTAATATTATAATTAACTGATTTATATTCATAATAATGCTGTCTTTACATTTGTAACATTCAACTTTAGAACTTTAGCTATAATTATAATATATTACTTTGCCAGTTTTACAAGGGACCTGGAACATAACTCATCAAATTTTTTGTCTTACATTATGTAATTAAATTCATTTTATACTGATTTTTTTTATGACAATTTTTTCAGGAACAAAACTCTGAGGGCTACTTGTATTTTATTTTCTTGTTCTTGCATCTGATTCTTCAATTTTAAATTTTGTTAGAAACATGCTAATCTTATCATATATATATTTTTTTTTATTGTAACCAAACTTATTTTATAAAAAATTTATTTATATAAATATTTTTATGGAATTTGATAAAACTATGCATATTTTCATTCTAAAATGTTTATTTTCTATATGTAATAAAATACATTTTTTATTTAATTAAACATTTTCATCTAATTTATATATCTTTTAATAGTTAAGAATCTGAAATTTATTTGTATTTTCAGGAAGGGGATGTAGTACTTAAGGTACCTAGAAAATTAATGATGACAACAACAACAATTTCTGAACCAATATTAAGTAATTAATTACATTTAATAGTTTTGTACTTACATTTAGTTTAGTATTTACTTTTCATCTAATTTATATATCTTTTAATAGTTAAGAATCTGAAATTTATTTGTATTTTCAGGAAGGGGATGTAGTACTTAAGGTACCTAGAAAATTAATGATGACAACAACAACAATTTCTGAACCAATATTAAGTAATTAATTACATTTAATAGTTTTGTACTTACATTTAGTTTAGTATTTACTATTTATTGATTTTATATAGTTTAAATTAACCTTTTATACAAAATGTAAGGTATATTAATATGTAAGGTAACAAATGTAAGGTATATTAATATGATCAAAAAGTATCAGAAATAACTCATTTAAAGCACACACATGCAAGAGGATGCTGTTATAGTTTTTTTCTGTTTGGTATGATTTTCATCAACGTCTAGCAGCAATCTGTACATCGTCATCTGGTTTTGTTTGCAAGTAAATGCTTGTTTTGTGTGTAAAGAATTTTTGCATTGGTGATTTTTCAAAATGTTAAGTATAATTGAGGAAAGAATGTGCATTAAATTTTGTTTTTACAATGGGATTACTTCTACAGAAATTTTGGGAATGTTGAGATTTGGCAGTCAAAAATTATCGTTTAACAACTAGGTTTATTATTGAACATGTTCAGTTTCATTTGGATCTTGTCAACCAATTTAAAAGATCATTTGGGCTTGCAGTGCATTTCTTCTTGAGTTGTCCTGAAAATGTTGAATTTTTTCCAAAAACATTGTGTTCAAGTGGCTGAGGAAATGTGATCTCAAGGCAAATCATCCTTAAAATGCATCATTACGGGTGATAAAACATGGATCTACACGTTTGACAATGAAACAGCTCAACAAACTAGTGAATGCACTTGAAAGTCAAAGTAAGACTGAAAAGACCAGATTGAAGTCAGTCAAAAATCAAGGTCATGTTGACTGTTTTTTCGATTGTTGTGGTGTTGTGAATCACAAATTCTTTCCAATTGGCCAAACTGTCAACAAAGTATATCATTTGAGCATTTTGCATTGTTTGTGTGAAGCGATTTATAGAATACAACCTGATTTGTGGCAAGAAAATTCACGAATTTTCCACCACAATAATGCATCTGCTCACAATGCTCTTGTTGTTCATGAATTTTTGGCCAAAAATTCAATAAATATTGTTCCACAAGCTTCGCATTCACCTGATATAGCACCATGTGATTTTTTTCTGTTTCCTTGACTAAAATTTCCATTTTGAGTCAAGTGATGTTCATAAAACAAAATTTGCTGCAAGTCTTGGAAGGGATTTCATGAAAATGACTTGAAAGCATGTTTTATGAATTGGAAAAGAACATTGCAGTGAGAGGGAATTACTTTGAAGTGAACAAAATAAATTTTGATCAATAAATTCAAATCTTGCATTTCATTATTCCCAATACTTTTTGATCACAGGGATATGTACAATACTATTAGTAGTAATACTTAAACTTTTCTGATCTAGCCCAGTCTGTCTTACAGTAAATCAATTGAACTAAATAAATATATTTTAATACACTGTAAAATGTACTGTATTTAGTTATAAAAAATATTTTTATGCTTGTTTTTAAATGTAATTTTTATTTAATTAGAACAAATTTGCTATTTTTAAATACTGTATTTATTCTAATAAACATCACAACTGCAAGCAAAATAAAATTATAGCCAACATGCTATTTATTAGAATAAGTACAGTATAAATAATTTTTAAAGTTTTTTTTCAATTAAAAAACTAGATAATTTTTAATTGTTCAAAAAAATGTTTTTTTTTAGAAATAATTAATATAATTATAATTTTATTTGAACTTATTAAAACTTTTAAACACTACCATAACTCTATTTGTAAATAAAGTAAGTTAATTATATAATGAAAAGTTAATTAATTAATTACCTGAAAAACTGTTTATATCATTTTTTAAGGAATTAAAAGCTATTGGCTTTTTATAATCAACCATTAAAAGTATTGAAGAAGGGTCATTAAGACCCAAAATGCATTTCCTCCAATAAAATCTATATCAGTAATAATAATAAATGACGCTTTTAGCCCACGACTATAAATTAGATAGAGTTAGATAACCGAATAAATAGGATTTAACAATTTGGAGGGCTTATCACACCAAGGCTGACAGAAAAAAGGACCAGAATTTTTACAAAAAAGTTAGTCTTTAATAATCACATTTCAAATTTAGGTAAGGATGCATTTCAGGTACAAGGACCCCTCATCAGCTTACAAACACATGGCAACAACATAACAATTATAACACCACTAGTTAACCAATACAAAGGAATATATAATATATACATTGCACTGTATTCACAATTTTTAATGTAACCCATATACTAAAAGTAAAAAAACTGAAACTATCAAGAATAATATTTTAATACAATGACAATGTGATATATCATATCATTTGGGACCAGTAAATGTCTTATTTTCTCTGACATTTTCCAAATTCTGGTAGGCAGTTCCATATTATTAAAATGATTGGTTTCCAGGCATTAAACAAAAACAGATACATTTGATCCATAAGGCTGTGTGAAGACATCTGAAAACCTATATCAACAAATGTTCCTTGTGTGATGTGTTACTGAAGAAAAAAAGCCAATAGCTTTTAATTCCTTAAAAATCCAGAACGAAACAGTAACAGGAAATTTAATTAAATGTTTATATGATAATTGATTTATGCAATTTTATTTTAATACTTCAAAGAAAATAGAGCAATAATTTAAAATTTCCAAAATTCAGTGAAAAGAATAGCAAAATTTGGACTATTTTTTAAAAATCATTCTGAAGTTTAAATTGTTCACTTTAAATATCATACTTATTATTTGTGTTCAGAAATATATTGGTTTTATATAATTGCGGCATAAAGACAAATGGGAAGATATGGAAAGATAGTGAACACGATAATAATTAACTCATAATAAAGATTTAGTTTGAATGTATTATTTTTGATAGGTTTTTGTTCTATTTGTTTGTATTTCGTTTTATAATAGTTTCAAATACTTATTGAAAAAATCAATTATCTAACTATTAAAATTAGATAATTAACTAATAATGTTTTCTTCATAAATATCAAATTATTAACTAATTAAATATAAAAATAATTAAAATTTTTTAAACAATTTATTTTATATTAAAAAGTATAATTTTCAGATAATTTTGTGAAGAAGGATCCTATTTTGCAACATATGTCAAATGTAGTTTTGGCTCTTCATTTAATGAATGAATATGTTAATCCAGATTCTTTTTGGAAACCATATTTATGTATCCTTTGTTTTAAAGTGTAGTAAGTTAAATTAGTATTTATTAAATAATTTAGTTTATATTCATGATTTATTGTTTATTTTTCTTAAAGTAAAAAATAGCAATTTTACCTGCTGAATATAACACTGTTTTATATTTTACTCCTGAAGACTTGAAAGAATTAACAGGATCTCCTGTGAAAGGTGAATTTTATATTAAATTATGATACTTTTTAGTCAGAATTTACTTATCCATCAATTATTAGATATACACAATATTGTTTTTGTTACATCCAGATATTCAAATAAATTTTTTAGTTAAAAACAAAAAATAATGAAAAATAAAATTAAATAATATAGTAACACTTTCCAATCAATTTTATTTCTGAAGACCCTAGTTTTGAAAATGTTGTTCTGATCTTTTACTGTTCATCCAAAAGCATTCAAATTTGTTTCTTTTTCCAAGTTTTTGAATTTTATGCTGTACTTCTATGCATTTAAAGTTAGAACTACTTAGAATAAGTAAGACAAAACCTTTGTTTTGTCTTTCTTACTTCTAACTAAGACAAAACAAAGTTGTTAAAAATTTGAAAATTTGAAACATTTTCTTTAATATGCAGTAGAGCATAAATAAGTAAGACAAAACCTTTCACACTTTGTTTCTAGCAGTTTAATCACTAAGTACAAATGTTTTCAGCCATTTTGAATGGCCTTCTTCAGGTACAAAACTTTGTTGATGATAACAAAGTTTGTTATTATCAACAAAGTTTATTAAAACAAAGTTTTGTACCTGAAGAAGGCCATTCAAAACGGCTGAAAATATTTGTACTTAGTAATTAAACTGCTAGAAACAAAGTGTGAAAGGTTTTGTCTTACTTATTTATGCTCTACTGCATATTAAAGAAAATGTTTCTAATTTTCAAATTTTTAACAACTTTTAATAGCTTTTATATACACACACAAGATTTATTTTTGACATAAAATGTTTTATGCACTCATGTACTTTTTTATATATATTTGATTATAAAAATCTGTTTATCTTTGATTATAATTATATAAGAAAGATATAATTAACTGATTTATATTCATAATAATGCTGTCTTTACATTTGTAACATTCAACTTTAGAACTTTAGCTATAATTATAATATATTACTTTGCCAGTTTTACAANTATATGAAATAATTTTAATATTGTTTTTATTTACTACAAGCAATTATAATTATTATTTTTAATAAAATTTAGAAGAGTGCATGAAAATGTATCGAAATATTGCTAGACAGTATTCTTATTTCTATCGACAGTTTCAAGTAAGTTGTTATAATTTATAGTATTTTATAAATTTGTTGATATAAAAATATTATAAGAAATTTACATTTTAAGTTTTAGAAATTAACATTTTAATACTTTGAATATTTTCAGAATTATAACATTTCTTTATTAGATTCATATATTTGAAAAAATATTACATTACTTGTAAAAATTGCAAATATTTATTTAAATTTTTGATATGTACTGTACATTTATAATTATGTAAAACTGATCATATATTGTAAGAAATATAGCAGTTTCTGCAATATATAATTTTGTTTATTAACTTGATGTACAACAAAAATATCACTTTATTCTGATATTAGAATCAGGAAAGCCTTTATTTTAGAGAATAAATGTTTTGCCTTATAAATATTTTTGTACTTATTTTTTTTTCCAATCTTAAATATATTATGTTAATGTTAAGACTAACCTTAAAAAATAAATACCCAACATTTTTTAATATATTTTTTTGTTTCATAAAGAATTTATCTGGTTTCTGCAGTGTACGTGTGGATTTTTTGATTATTTGGAAAGGTCTTCTCAATACTTAAGACGCCAAATAATAATATGATCGATCCCAAAAAATTTCTGCTGGCATGCAAGAAAATTTTGCATAATTGATTTGGCAATTTTAGCATGCACATTTAAAAAGGTTGCCCACCCATGTACAAAACTTAGATTTTGGAATAGTTAAATAATAATATATTAAATTAAAAATTAAACTCACTATATAGGTTTTAAGGATCTTTCTTTTAATTTTATTTCTTATTAAAATGTTTTTGGAGTATATTACTTTTCATCTTTAGATCAAAATCTCCATGTTCTAAAATCATTAATGAAAATTGAAAGAGGGAGTCTTTAAAAATTATATAACATGACAATTAATTTTAATTTATAAGGTAATCTTATCTACAAATAAAACATATTCTTTTTCTTCTTGTTACATTAATTAATTCATGACATTTACATAATGACATTTGTGTAAATAGGTTTTATATTACAGTTGAATCCACTAAATGTCACATGCCAGTTATTGTCACAGAAATTTTTATCACCAGCCAACCCCATAAGTAATGATAGACTTTTTTGTAGTTAATGTTACTCCACTTGTTAGTACAAGTTAATTAATATCAAAGTATTTATGTGCATGGTGGAAATAAATATTCTATTTAATGCCACAAAGTTTGCAAAGTGTTATTAGCATTGTCTAGTGACACTTTTTTTAATTATTAATAATTTTGTAATTTATAACTGTTAAATGGGTAATTTTTAAATGATTTTTAAGTGTAAAATCTAATAGTTTCTAGTCAAAAATATGATTTTTGAAAGTGCTATAGCAGTTTTCAGCTTCAAAGTTGACAACACTAATTACACTATCTTTGATATTTCTTATCAAGTAGAGTACACTGTAAAGATCAATCATACTATGTAATACTCATTGTGACAAAAAAATGGCAGCTAAACCTTTTTTACTTTTTAACTTTATTTATTTCATTTTATGATTACAGTAGATGTAATAAATGTTCTGCTTAATAACTGTTTGCTAATGTGGCAAATATAGGACATGTACAGTAAGCCAACATGTTCTGATGCAATTAAAGGTTTTATATCAAAGCTCTTCTATTGGACTCCTGGTAATTCAACTCCACTTAATGTAACCATATTCTGATAGCTCCACAGATGTGATATTAAATGGGTTGGAATATATATATAATATATATATGTATTAAAATTTGTTTTTGCAAGCAAGGAAGGAGAAAAATGTGTTTTAAATATAGAAAATAGTAATACAACTTTAAGCAATTAAATTTTTTAATTTATTTATTTAGCAAATTTGATATTTTTGTTATGATTTTTATGAGGTATTAAATGAATATAACTAAAAACAAATACCATAATAAAAGAAAATTTATTTTTTCCAGCAATGTCCAGAATTAAGGAGTTCTCCTTTAAGGCATTATTTCACTTATGATTTTTACAGGTAAATTTTGTTTCTTTGTAAATAAAGTATTAATTAATTTTGTTTAAAATTAAATGTGTATATTATACAGTGGGTGATTGGTTAACAAACATAATCCATTCCAAGAATTTGTTTGCTATCCAAATTGTTCATTAATCAATTATCAATTTACCATAGGTTTTTATGGGAATTTGATTAAATTAATTCGTTCTGGAGATCCCAAAAAATAAAAAAATATATACATTCTTACTGTGTTCATTTATATGTAATAATAAAAATAGATATATACACAGTCTTGCATTTTTATTAGTCATATTTTTCCGTTTGTGGGGGTTAAAGAATCTGTTTAATGTCGATTGCTTTTCTCTCTTCTTCAAGATTTTTCAGAAGTAATTAATAGCATTGTAGAGATACCTATGCCTATTAACCTCAACCTGGTTTGGATGCCATTCTAAGACTGTCGTTCTGATATCATCCCACTTCTTCAAAAAAATGTTTAATAGCAGATATTGACATTAATTTTCTTTTTCAGAAAAAACTTATCTTGCCGAGTTTCTTGATGTTCTTCATTCAAGAGTTCTTGGCGTTCTACTGTCATCAGATCAGTTTTAGGTTGAATTATGAGTTCATCAATGTTTTTTATTTCTCAGATGTGATTTTTGTTACTCCTTAAGCTGCTTGAGTCTTCTTGATTATACTGTATCTTTCTTAGATAAGATTGAACTGCAGCCTACTGGAGACCTGTTGAAGCCATAATGCCCAGTAACATCAGACATCTTCTGCCCCACTCTACCTTTGCTATTATACTCTCACATTTCGAAAATAAAAACCAACAAAAAACTTAACGCGTGCCCACCCGACAGTCTCTTAAATATCAATACTATAAAAGAATTGTTTCTGTCAGAAGAATAAAAGACTAGAATTACAAGAGAGAGTTCCAAAGTTTGGAGGAGTACTATCCGATCAATATATATACATCTTCAATGAGGTTGAGCATCAATATCGACGTCTCCCACGCTATGAAAAGTTTCAAATTGGTGCTGAAGACAAGGGAAGACCAATCAATATTCATCATTTTATGTTGCTTCTTGTGTTTGTTCTGCGAGGTGTTCGTTGTCCGAACATAAAAATCTTTTGCAAAAGTGTTCATTATCTGATTTGTTTGTTAGTCGATCACTCACTGTATTTAAAATTACCAATAGTTTTAGTTTTTTAATGTATTATAGTTTCAAGTTTAAGAAAGTTCATTTTTTATAGTTAACTGAAAAATTGTTTATACCTGGAACTATAGATGAATATTTTTGAGGATAAATTGACTCATATAATGACTACAGTGTTGACAGTTTAAAATTTATTAGTTAAACAACTTTTTTTCTAATTAAAATCAGAGTTTTAGTGATTGGTTTAGTACAAAATTCAACAGTTTCATTAAAATTATATCTTATACATTGTTTGATTTCATACATTTCATGAATTTTTCTGTTTAAGAAGTTTCTACAAAGATAAGGAGCACCTACAATTTGTCTTTAATTGATATTTACATTATCAATAAAATTTACATGCAATTGAATATAAACGTAATACATTTATTTTATCATATTTTTTTGGATAAATTTCTTATAAATATTCTTGAAGTAAACAGTTGTAGCAAAACAACAGTCATTATTAGACATTTACAAAAATTTTCAAGAAAATTTTTAATATTCTGATGATCTGATAAGTACCAAACAGAAAATGCATTACTTTTCATTCTGCATTTATTATGACATAATTTTGTTCTCACTCTGATATTTCATCTAGCAGATAATAAGGAATAACTTTGTAATTTGAAAAAAGTAAGTTGAATAAATAAGTTTAACAGTTATATTTAATACAGTAGCTCCTCGTTATACAGTAGAGTCTCAAAAACTCGGCACTCAATAACCCGGCAGTCCGGATAACTCGGCCACACCCTGGCAGGGCAAAAAAATCCTTAGTTAATTCATTTTCGTTATAGACAGCTTTATGCCTCATAAAGTATTTTTCTGAGGCCTGTCTTATCAGGTAAATTACTGTACACAGTAATTTATCTGATTAATTTTCATTATCTCATTAATTTTCATTTTCATGTAGTAAAGGCTCTATGCCTTCATAAAGTACATACTTTTCCTTTGTTTAAGTGTATTTGGGCAGTTTATTCTCTGTTGTATTCTCAAGTAAACAATACATACAAGTACAGTACAGTATTTTCTGAGGAAACACTTGTACTTATTTTTTTTAACCCCATTCCCGATAACCCGGCATTTTCACAAACTCGGCCCTTCAGTCCACATTAGGCCGAGTTTTCGAGACTCTACTGTATTACACTTGTGGGAGCGTAATATAATGAGAAAAAGTGCAATACTGAATTCGGAACCTGTTACCGGTGTAATTTGTGTGAAAAAATCTCCCTTTCACAAACGTTTTCAAACTTTAGAGATAGTTCTTCTTCAGGTAAAGAAATTCCATTGGATTGCTTCGAAAAATGGAACGTGGATATTCAAACAAAAAACTGAATACTCACATAACAGAACTCGTTGAGTGAAGATAATGTGAACACAAATTACACCAGTAACAGGTTCCAAATTTAGTATTTCACTCCCAGTGTCAAGGAGAGGTTGAATTTCTTATTTAAAAAGTGTGATATATCTGACGGGCGATATAACCAAATACTAAAAATTCTGGGCTTTTACTAAACAGATTATACATGCTATGGAATCTCTCTCCTCTGTTCTTTCATCAGTAAATGTTTCTGATATAAAATAAGCTTAGTTTTGCAGTACTGAATTTTATTTGTGGTTATATCGTATTACAGGACGTTTACGTAAAAATCGATACCCCAAACACCCATTTAGCATTTTTGTTTCTTTAACAGTGACATTTACTCTCTCTATAAAACAAAATATCAGTTCCAATTTTATTATACAGTACTATTGATATATTTCATAATAAATCACTTATTAAAAATTTGTGTAATTTTATATTTTTTAATAAAAATTATAAATACAGTAATTGAAAATTTAAAAAATAAATATTGAACATATAATAGAACATCAAAATTTACAAATTACAGAGTAAAAATTCTATAAAAAGCAAAATAAAGCTACTACTATATGAAAATTTTACAATTTTCCTTTCAGAAAGAAATAAATCTTTTCCTCATATACTTAGGGGTGAGTTCGAAACTTCACACCTTTATGTGAATTGACAGTATTAAATCAATTCACATAAAGGTGTGAAATTTCAAATTCACAGAAACTTGTAAATGAGGAGATAGTACTTAAAACAATAAACAACTTTTAATATCAAAAGAAAACATAAATGATAATTGATCTGTCCACCTGTTTTTGCTTATTTAGATCTTGACCTATTGATTGTTTCCCCTTTAGTGGTAGTTTCAAGGACAATGGTAACAATAAAATACTGCAAAATGAATTTCAATGGCAATTGAATTTCATTTTGCAGTATTTTATTGTTACCATTTTGCAATGAAATTCAATTGCCATTGAATTTCATTTTACAATGAAATAAGGTATTTTTCAACAAAATTTATTGTCTCTAGTGCTTTTAAAATTTGGGAAACCAAAACAATGATATAAGGAGCGGCTACTGTATTTTGTTTTATTTAACTTATTTTGTGAACATAGTCTTCACCCATATATTTAAAATAATTAAAATACTTTTTTTAAAAAATATTACTATTAAAACAAAAATTGTTGAAGAAAACACCTGAAAATGAATTTGCATTCTTTGTTTATAATTAATGTAATTGGACAGCAAAAATTGCTGAATTTTAAATGTTTTACTGTTATGTATATTTAACATATTTGAATTATTAAATATATTTAATTAATTGTGGAATTAATGAATTACAAGTGTTTAATTTTTTATTACAATGTTGGTTAGTTAAATTTTATGAAAAAGTTAGGCAAATTTGTTATTATAGCCATATTATTAGCAATTAATTATTAAATGATTTATAATATATATATATATATTAATTATAATAAAACAATTTTTATTTAATTGTAATTACAACATTCTATAATTTAGTATAAAATATAAATGTTTTGTTGAATATTATCAAAGTTATTGAATAAAGTTTAGATCCAAAGAACATATTATTAGAAACAATATAATATTATCTCTAAATAATTTTAATGATTTAGAATAAATTTAATTTAATTAATGATTTAAAAATCTAAAAGAAAATGATTAAATGTGGCATTTGAACAATAACTCTGTTTAATGTTTGAGAGTATTGTCAATTTTATAATACAAGATTCTGAGAATAAACTTCTTTTTTGACGTGCATAGCCATATACACAAACATATATATGTTATATATAATATGTATAACTGTATCAAATATAAACTAGTAATATATATGTAAAGTTTATTTTACTCACTAGATTAAATATTATCTACCTGAAAGTTTTTCTCTGGTTTGAAAGTATCTAAATAGCATAACTCACAATATCTTTTCTCATTTAATGAGAGTTGCAATTTGAATAATGCATAAAGTAATTCTTTTTTCCAAATTTCTAAAATTAATTAAGATAAACTTTCTAATAAAATTGTTTCTTTAGTAGTAGCAAATTCTTTAAATCTGTAATGAATATATTAGTTCACTCTCTCTGAATTTAGTGGCATATGTAATACAATAGAAATATATTTATATAATAACTAGTTCAATACAGTAAGAAGTTCATTAAATTGGTAATTTAGCATTTCCAGTAACCACTATCTGGGATTATCCAACAATAATTCAGTGGGGTATAATATATAGTGTACCATATATATCCACAAATTAGAATTTGTTTGGACATGTGGTATACTAAAGACTCTGTATACTAAAGACATGTGGTATACTAAAGACACAGTACATTCTTGAAAATAAATATATACATATGAATCATTCTGAATGTTGATTTTGTTCAATAAAATATTTATCAATATTTTTGTAGGTTTTTCAATTTTAACACAGTATAATCATGCACTGT